AAAGGACGTGTTTCTGAGAGAAGAGAGTCGTATTTGGCAAAAAATTTTCCCTAACGGCAGAACGTGCCCTACATCGCACACAAGCAGAGCTTGAATTAGCCTAATAAAAAAATTTAAGAAAACTGAAACAGAATCATAGCCTACCTTATATACCTAAGCGCTCGGTCGGTAATCGCTGTACAATTTTCTAGATTCAAATGAACCAATTTATGACAATGTCTTCCAAGATTCTCACATGTCCTGAAACAGATTTCAATCAATGAAATCTGCTCTGAGCTTTCAAGCGATGAAATTCTCAAAAATATCCACTGTGTTCAAATACTTACGCATCCGTCAACTCGTTTACATTTATACAAACTGAGATGTTCGATGTTGGCACATTTAGCTGTGAAAGACCGTAATGCCGAATCCTGCAATGAAACATCTGAGTGCGAAATACATACGTATCGATTCGTAACTAAAGTCGTCATCCGGGCAGTTGATAAGCCGGCCAAGGGGTCGCGACGCGGTATGACAGCGGCGATCAGCTGTGTTACAAAATCTCAACAATAATTTACCTTGTGAAGACAAGGAACAGCTAACCTTGAAAAAAGCAGCCAAAACAGTGAAAATTAGGGAGAAAATGACTAAACCAGGCCGGAAACAGCTGATCGCCGCAAACAGTTCCTACGCACGCGGTCGCTGCTGCAGCCGCGTCTGCGGCCCTTTGACGACCGCCCTAATCAACTGTCCGGATGGCGAGTGTATATTTGTTAGTATAGCCCCTTTGAAATAGATAGCCATCTGCCAGAAGACAGACATTCTGCCTGCTACTTGGCGTAACAGGTCATGGTGAAGCGTTTGAAGTGCGAGTTACACCAATTAGTTCCGGGGCAACCATTTGCCCACCAGGAAAGCCGCATTTATACTTGGCAAACAGCTGGCAGCTACCCACTACAAGCTCATTGGGGTCGTATTGCTGATAAAGAATAGTAAGAAATGTTGTAGGTGTAGTTATTCTGAGCGAACATCCTCTGTGAACAGTAATATATAGTTTGCAATAGGCTATTACCGCAGTCCGTAGTAAGGCAACGCTCATACTTAGCAATTCAAGCGATTAAGCCGCGCGATTGCGACTCAGCGCGCTCCTACGGTAGACGTTGGACCGCTAGAACTCATCTCCTACGGTAGATGTTGGGTCGCTAGAAGAGATCGAAAGAAATTCTGTTCTGCATGTGACTGAATCAGCAGGTACTGCGACGCAACGATTAGCGGTAGAACGCGGTCAGCTGCAGTGACGTGATTCGAGAATCACATGAGTCGCGAAGTATGAACGCGGTTTCAAACCACTGCCAGAAGTGCGGCAGATGTGACAGGGTCGTATAATCGCAATAAAGAAAATTGTCTCCACTCGATCCTTCGTAACGATTAAAATATATAATTCAAGATTTATAATAAAGCTTGCCTGTATATTCTCACATCCTTTGAGTGAAAGTTTCTTGAGAAAACCGCCACAACGACGAGCAAGATTCTCAACGGTGGCTGCCTTAAATCCTTTTTTAGACAATTTACATAGAAATTTTAGAGACATAAGGTGCCATACCTTGACATCCTTTTGAAATGTGAATAAATCGACCCGTTGCCAATTGGAACCATAGTGCGTACTACATTCCACGAACGGCATGTCTGCGCACATCGACACAACGTTTTCATATCCAAATAAGAGAAAATTCTGGAAATGAAGAAAAATTATAGGACCATTATGCAGCATGGTGAAAGTCTATTTGGCTTGGCACATAATGTTCTTTCGTTTATTTCAACCGAAATTCGTTTCAAAAGATGAAACGTTTTGTTAGCGAAGTCTTGATAGCAATCCTGTTGAATAGTGAAAACTTCACGTAGTTTTAGAATATCAAAACGGCTTCGGTTGAGGGAATAATTTTTGTGGATTTTTTAGTCGTTGAAGTTGAAAGCGAAGTCGGCGAAAATTAGCACCTTCGACAACTGCTCTATTTAACGTCAGTCGAAGTGCTAAAATCGCTTAAGCTGCTCCATACATTTGGAAAAGGTCGAGCTAGAAGTTCCAGCAAGGGAATCTCACTAGGACGCTTTGGAACGAATTTCAAGAATTTTGAAGTTACCAACCTTCACCTCGCCGATATTGGGCAGCTCACGTCTGTTCCACCTAAAATTTTATGCTAATATTTGAATGTTTCGCTGATATGTTTTGCATGTTCTGATAGCAAATTTCGTGCTCTATAACACTGTTAATACGACCATTGTTTCCCCGGAGGTGTTTGCTTTCTGTTAAGCTCAGGTTATCATTACGGAACGCGAAGTCGTTGAGAAGTAGCGTTCCCGTTCTCCACGAATTTTATGCTAACATTTGAATGTTTCGCTAATGTGTTCTATATGTTCTGATAGCCAATTTCGTGCTCTATAACACTGCGTTGCAGTTATTTTGAAAAATCCGTTTGATGCCTTGTTTTTTTATGGAATGTCAGGCCGATAAGCATCAGCACTTCAGACATCTCCTCCTTTTCGCATTCAACAGAGGTATCAGTACCATTCTTGAAGCGTCTGAACCAATTTTGGGCTGTTTTGAGAGAGAGGGCATCTTCTCCGTACACTTCGCGAATTTCCCGAGCAGCAAGCAGTCAGCAGCTCTGATACCTCTGTTGAATGCGAAAAGGAGGAGATGTCTGAAGTGCTGATGCTTATCGGCCTGACATTCCATAAAAAAACAAGGCATCAAACGGATTTTCAAAATAACTGCAACGCAGTGTTATAGAGCACGAAATTGGCTATCAGAACATATAGAACACATTAGCGAAACATTCAAATGTTAGCATAAAATTCGTGGAGAACGGGAACGCCTAGTTCTCAACGACTTCGCGTTCCGTAATGATAACCTGAACTTAACAGAAAGCAAACACATCTGGAGAACAGATTTCTATAGCAGTGTTATAGAGCACGAAATTTGCTATCAGAACATGCAAAACATATCAGCGAAACATTCAAATATTAGCATAAAATTTCAGGTGGAACAGACGTGAGCTGCCCAATATCGGCGAGGTGAAGGTTGGTAACTTCAAAATTCTTGAAATTCGTTCCAAAGCGTCCTAGTGAGATTCCCTTGCTGGAACTTCTAGCTCGACCTTTTCCAAATGTATGGAGCAGCTTAAGCGATTTTAGCACTTCGACTATACGTAAATAGAGGCAGTTGTCGAAGGTGCTAATTTTCGCCGACTTCGCTTTCAATTCAACGACTAAAAATCCACAAAAATTATTCCCTCAACCAAAGCCGTTTTAATATTCTAAAACTACGTGAAGTTTCCTATCAGATGATATCAAGCTTGCTAGCAAACATTTCATCTTTAGAAACGAAATTTCCGGTTGAAAAAAAACGAAAGTACTTATGTGCCACGCCAATAAGATGTAGAAATGAGAGATTCTGATCAATTCTTCTACACTGCAGGTGCTCAGTGGCATTCAGCTTAACACGCGCATGTTCAGCCGCTAGGCTAGGCAAGCGGTTCCATTCGTCGTTATTAGACTTCGGGCTGAACATCGCGTAGCATCCCTTTTGCTTGCCCTTCTGTTTGTTTTTTTGTGATAAAGTCCTTGGTTTGATTGTTGCTATTTTAGTTGCTGCCCCGTGTGTTGTAGTCCACTTGATATGCAACAAGTGAATACACCAAGGGGCAGGGCAGGAGATCCACGTTGCGGCGACGCGGCAGTAGCAGCAAGACGATGGCGACGCGTTGGTACCTAACTGGTCTCATGAGAATGTGTAATATGCACTGTAGCATGTCGAGTCAACTGGCTAGAAATTACTAGCTACTTTTCGCTCATCGCATCGTGGATTACGGGGCCTATTACCGGTAGACCATGCCTGGGGTAATACCACAACTCAAGCTTCGTCCTATAGCATCCACCCAAACTAATTCAGAAGAGCATTTTTCAAACTACCCATCTCTAATAGGGAGCACAGACTGGTTCGCTGCGTATGCATGGGCGTTTCGGGAAGATTGTTTGGTGCCAGCCAGTTCTCCATCAACTATTGAAGCAAGGCAATGGACAACAACACTGAAAAACCGATGGCGGCAGGGCAAACGCCAGCCCCTTCATCTGCCCCAAGCAATCGCAGTGACAAGACGTTGGGTCATACAAACTCCAACTTCTAACCGCGCACAGGAAACATAGACCTCGTATTTGATTCAAAGACGGTAAGTATCCATAACCTGGAACGGTAGCCTCCTTGGTGGGTGCAGGCCCCTGGCCAAGGTGCCACTGGGAGACCCGCGCTGCGGCGAAGGCAACCTTACAAGTTGCCTCGCGTGAGTGGTAACCGCACCAGTGCACTGGGATCTTATTGATTCAACGAGTTAAACAAAAAAGCTGAAAATTTACTTTAGCTAGTTCGCGCGCTTTGTCGCAACATAGATCTCTCAACATATTGTCAAGGGAAGGCCCATAAAAATTCTGATTTCAAAAATTCTATTCGAACCAGTGCTCATTTCGGAACTTCGAAAATAAACGAAACCGGTCCAAAAAAAAACTTCCGGCAGAGGTTACTTTTTAGAGAATTAATCAATTACTCACCATGAATGAGATTACGCAATATCTCAGTTCCTTACGGTAGCATGATTTGTTGATCGAGTAAGCGTTGTCACCTAGGAGGCTGGTGCAACGCGTTGTGATTAAATACATCTGAAAAACGAGAATATAGATACAAATGAAAATCACCATCCAAAAGAAGAAAAATGGTCACTAACTTAATTAACCAACTTAGCAAATTAGCTATTAACTTGGATAGACATTTAAAAATGAAGTACCCGTAACAGAGAGGAGGGTTTTTGCCTGAGCCAAAGAAGGGGGGAGGGGCGATGCGAGGGGCTCGAAGGTCGATGATTCAATTTCATATATTGCCGTCCTATTTGGGTAGGGTTCATCCTAGTTCTGCAAAAAAGTCATTCAAATGCCTTCCTCCAGCCTCACTGGAACAAAAAAAAATTGCTCCAGTGACCAAATACTTTCTGGCAAAAATTTCAACTTCAGGTTCGTCAGTAACCGAAACATGTCAATCAGTAAATTACCTCTTACTAGTAAATACCTCCCAAAAAGAAAAACGAAGAGCAAGAAACCAAACACAGATTCGTGAAGGATTAAACGAATCGCTGTAAGAGCGATTTGCAAACTAATGAACTTTCTCGCGTCGTCACAAAAACTCCTCATAATGTCCGTCCTTGAGCAACCAGCTGAAGGTTATGGCCAGCCAAGTGCGGTTTGGTTTCCACCTGTCGCTAACTTCACTCATGAGACAAAAGGAATTACAGTATTCATAGACAGACACGATATAGCAATTAGCAAAGTTATTCGTTTAGCCCGCCCTTCTAACGCGTCACCCCACCTCATAACTCCTTCACCGTTGTTGGTACAAAGTTCTACCTCAAAGCTGGCACGGTTACCTACTCTAACTTCTAAAAGTCACGGCACAAGTGGGACGAATAGAGTCCCTCTTAATCCACCTGCAGTTTCTCAGCCCAAGAGCAAAGTCGCCAAAATGCTTAGGGGGTGTACCTGAGTATAGACCCTCATCTTTAAGAAATTCTCAAGAGCGATTAACTTGGTTATGGATCTCATATATACACATAATCCCTAGAATCGGGTAGGCGGGGCTGCGTACTTGATTTTAAAATGGCAGCGGTCCAGGTTTTCGTTAGATAATGGCAGTTTGGAGCAGTCGTAATCATGTCTACACGTACACAGAACAAGATAGTAGATGTTTCAAGTTGGAGTATCCCACGAGAAACCCGTCTTAGGCTATGCCCAAAAGCCACGCCTGCTCCGTCTTAGGGATAAGGAGTGTGTCCATCTTGGCTTCACCAAGGACGCTGATTCACTGGAAATACACCAAAAACGCCGATTCATTTAAAGGCCTGTGTGAAACATTCAAAAATGTGGTCATCGTAGGTGCGCCTCTATCACGATCTCCCAACTGTTGTGAATGTGATTGTCTGAGGGCAGGCCTACCTTCCTTACCTTACGGTTCTAAGTCAACAATTCATTTATTAGGTATTGATAAGGCATGTGTTTCATCACTTGTCGCTATATCGTCACCAGCTGTCTACGTAAATCGCTCTGTTTCAGCGTCAGGATTTATTATTAAATGTATAGATATGTATTCTATGCGTCTCTTCGTCTTTTCACTGAACTTTGTACCTCATGCGTCCGCTCATTTTGCGTTCTCTGAGGGCTATGAATAGTAATAATTTGTGTATTTTGATTTGGCATTTACCTTAGCTTGTTCTACTAACTGTCCGTCTACTCTTCTTAGCAGCAAGACTGTCTGGTTCGAGAGTGTGTCTGCTGTATAGTCATGTATCCAGCAGCTGCTACTACTCTCTTCTTTTCCCCATTATCTCTTCCCTAATGACTTTGCTTCTCCTCCTTATCCTGAATCTGTTACTCTTTAGGTGCGTTCTGCCACCTTTCTTTCTTTACGCTTCTTCTCTTTACTTCTACTAGCTTCTGCTTCGCTTCCTTGTCGCGTCTATATATCTCTCTTTATTTTTTTTTTTAGATTAGCAGTCTGCCACTTAACTCTTCTGTTTTCTGATATATCTACCAGGTGTCTTGATAGCTTCTGTTCTATTTTCGCTTCTCATATTGTTCTCATTTCTCTACGTTCTCGTGTATGACGCTGGTTGTGATTCTGTCTCAGTACGCTATTATTTTCGATGTTTATAGTTTTCTTCATGTCGTTCG